ATAAATTTATATATAAAATAAAATGTTAATTTTTATAATTTTAATAAAACAAAAACTTCTGCAGCATAGCTTGCTGCTGCATCTCTCTATCGAGCACAGCACCTGTTGAGTATTTTCTTTTGTTGTGTCTGCTCTGTATATCTCATAAAATAATAAAATAAATAAAAAATAATAAAATAAATAAAAAATAATAAACTAAATAAAAAAAAAATAATAATAGTAGTAGTAATAAGCAAGGTAACTCTGTGCATGCAGCGCAGCAGCAGAAGCCAGCTGGCAACAATTTGTATCGAAGCTCAATAAACATAAACTAAATAAACAGCTGCTAGACTACACAGCCACACACAACCAATAAAACTTTTATACTGCAATGAAACAACTCTGTTGGTCAAGGAAAAGAAACTGCTGCTGCTGCTGCTGCTGCTGCTGCTGCTGCTGCTGCAGCAGCAGCAGCAGAAGGCAGCAGAAATATACTGGGTAGCACTCAAGAGGCTGCAGCAGTGCTGCTGCTGGCGTCGTCGGGCTTGTTGAGATAAACCCAGAGAAATATAATTTAAAAAAATAAAAAAAAATGTTTTAATATATTTATATAAATATATTATACACTATAACAAAACAAATTCATATACACGGAAAGGAAGGGCGCTGCGGCGGCTTGGCTGGCGGGCCCCGCCTCGCTCTGTATATCTGCGGTGTTGGGGTGTATGTACAGCTATGCAGGAGAAAACGAAAATATAATTATATTTTTTTAATTGTTTAGAATTATATTTCTCATTTATTTTCTTGAAACATTTTCTTTTTCACACTAAACTCTGCTGCTGCGTGCGCTGCTGTTGCTGCTGCTGCTGCTGCTGCAGCGTGAGGGCGTCGAGTGTAGCGGTGGTAGCATGTGAGGTGTCTATACACCGGAAGAAGAAGTTTATATATTTTTTTTATTTTTTTATTTTTTTATATAAATTTTAATTTATTTTCTCTGCGCAATGGGTCCACAATGCCGCCCCCTTGTATATGTTTGTTCCAGCCTCGCTTACTGCTCCCATATGACGATTATAGGGGCCCCCTTCGTTCTATTTTTTGTATTTGTTTAGGTGTATGTGTTGAGGTTTTATGTTTATTTTTATGTTTTATTTGGGGTGTGGTGTGTATACACCGCAGCTTACCCCGTGACCAGTGGTCACTGCTACCTATACCTCTCATTTGCTTCGATATATTTATACTTTTTTGTGGTATCTCTCGCTTATGGTTTTCTTTTTCTTTTTTATTACCTTCAGAGAGAAGTCTGCGTATTATATTGTTGCTAGGTGTGTTTTTTCGTTTGCTTTTTTCTCTTTTTTTTTCTCTTTATATGTTAGGGTTTATACATTTGGGGGTTTTGTCTCTGATTCCTGCTGCTAGCTACACCACTGGTTCTATATTAAATATACAAAGAAACGATGCATACACCTGGGTGAGGTTGCAGTGCTGGGACTTGCTGCTGCTGCTGCAGCTGCTGACTCTGCTGCTGCAGCGTGCTGCTGCTGCTATCCCTATCCTCTCTCCTCTTTCTTCTTTGTTTCAGAGTCCATGTGCATGCACGTGGCCTTTGTGGCTGTTCGCTGCAGCTCATCTCTGCTGCTGCTTGCTGCTGGGGCTGCTGCTGCTGCGGGATACTGTGCTGCAGCAGAATACAATCACCAGGGTCCTTGTGCATGTATCTGAGCTGCATGCT